TAGGGAAAGTGCAGCTGCTTCATGCTACCAGTAACTCTTTTTCTGTTGTGTTTGTGATCTTTTCACTTAGGGCATGGAGTATCTGGGTACCAAAAGGTATGTTCACCGGGATTTAGCAACCAGAAATATCTTAGTGGAGAATGAGAACAGAGTTAAAATTGGAGACTTTGGATTGACAAAAGTGTTGCCGCAAGACAAGGAATACTACAAAGTAAAAGAACCTGGTGAAAGCCCTATATTTTGGTAAGTTGTCTTTTGGTAAATGAAAATAGGTCAAGTTTTCCATTTTTGCAATTTCAGCCAATTGTTTTGCATATTGTGAAATTCTTTTAAGTGTAAATTCCAAGTCAGTTGCCCAGCATGGTGGAAATCAGGTACATGATATTTGACTTTGCAGAAGAGTATGCAAGTGTTAGACTTTCAAGCATATTTTAAAAACAAACAAAAAAAACCAAAACAAAAAAACCTAAATATTACTGAATTATTTAAAAGAAATAGTATGCAACAGGAAAGATATTCAAGGATATAAGAGATCTTATAAGGGCCAGTTCCCCAGGGTGCCTTCAAAGTTTTGCACCTTTCAGTTCCATAAACACTGGTTGCTCATACCTTTAAGCTGAGATCTCTTGGATAGACTTTCTGACCAAGTGGAATTAAATCCCATAGACTGTGGGATTTATGGGATAATGTCCTGGTTTTACTGTTGGGGTAAATGTTTGTATCTGGGCATTGAGCTTCCAGAGAAGTTCTAAGGTACTCCAAAATACAGTGAAACTCCAATGAGCTGCACTTAATTTGAAATGAGAAGGAACACTGTGTGACTGAAGGAGTACTTAATGAAAATTGGTGGACTGTATTCAAGATACAAAATAAGTATTTCAGTTCTGTTCTATAAATATGTAGAAATACCTTGAATAGATAGAATAACTGGCATAAAAACTATTTTATGTCCTGCTAGCAAAAGAAAATGCAATTGCGTACACGTGATTGTAGTCTATATTTTAATCTGACTTAGGCACTGTAAAAACGTAATGTTTAAAGGCTAAGTAATACAAAGTGGCATCTTAATAGATATTATTGGAAGCTGTAGAATTTAAGTCCAGAATTACCTGGGACACAGTTCATGGCTTATTGAAAGTGATGGAGAAATGCTTGCTGGCTATAATTGTCTTTCTTTCCACATCAAAATGTTGTTTACTTGCATTACAGATAAGAAAAATATCTACAAATTTGTTGAGGAAAAAAAACCCAACAAACTTGGATATGGTTATGAATAACTGTGTTTGTTTAAAGTGGATTGTGTTTTCAATGCTAATTAATTATTATAAAATAGTTACTGCTAAAGGTAGTGGAAGAAAATGAGAGTGCTAATGCCTATGAAAAAAGAACACTTACTCATGAAAAAGAATCACTCTTATTATAAGAAATATCTTAAAAACTAAAAAAGACATGCTACACAGAACAGTATTCCTTTTACCATGTGTTGCAGGTATGCTCCAGAATCTCTAACAGAAAGCAAATTTTCTGTGGCCTCAGATGTGTGGAGTTTTGGTGTGGTCTTGTATGAACTCTTCACATACATTGACAAGAGCAAAAGCCCACCAGCTGTAAGTATATAGTTAAACATTCTCAGAGGTTTTTTGTTTATACAAATTTTTGAAAACATATAATTGTTCCTCTACCTAAATAGGTTGTTCTTTACTGATCCTTTTCTGGAGATACCTTAGTGTTTGTGAGGCAGCATCCAATCAAAGGCAACATACTAAAAGGTATTGGTATCACACTGTAAGAAGGAAAGGAGATCTGAAAATTACCTGATAGCCTGTGCAGATTTTGTCCATCCTGTAACTCCTAACTGAAACATATTTTTTAATCTCTCATTATAGATGATTCCTTATTATCCTCATGGAGACTAATCTTAGCTGCAGCTGTTTCATTGCAGTATAAGATGTATTTTTAATGCCATTCCAAGTCAAAGACTAAGCCAAACAAATATGTCAACATTAAGTTCTTTTAAAGGTAGTTTTAAGTTCATTCATAAGGTAACTTAAAAGTTGTTTTGTAATGTGTTATTTTGTAATGTAAAGAAGCCAAGTTACTAAGTTATTGGAGTTCAAGAAAGAGTGGTAAGTGGCTTTTTTGCAGACTGTTGACAAGCTCAAAATTATCAGAGGACTAGAGAACCTTTCCTGTGAAGATAGGCTGAAAGAGCTGGTGTTGTTCAGCCTGGAGAAGAGAAAGATCCAAGGTGACCTTATAGCAGCCTTCCATACCTGAAGGGCCTACAGGAAAGATGGGGAAAGACTTTTTACAAGGGCTTGTAGTGAGTGGACAAGATGTAATGGCTTTAAACTAAAAGAGGGTAGATCTGGATTATATATTAGCAAGAAATACTTTCATGTAAGGGTGGAGAGACTAGAGCAGGTTGCCCAGAGAATTTGTGGGTCCCCCATCCTGACCTTGGAAGTGTTCAAAACCTGCTGGATGGAGCTTTGAGCAACCTGATCTAGTGGGAGGTGTCCCTGCCCATGCAGGGGGGTTGGATCTAGATGATCTTCAAGGTCCCTTTCAATAAAACTATGATATTTTCTGTTTTCTTTATTTTAATGGGATTTTTCAAAGCCTCGCGATTTTGTTCTAATGTTTCAGGTGGCTTTTTAGAATTATCTGTGATACTTATCCTTTTAAAACTAGTTAATTATCAGATGACGATCGACATTTTAAAGATTTTTCACTAGTTGCTTTAAGTTGTGTTTGTTTCATCCTATTTTGGTACACACACACACAGGAAGATCTGTATTTATTGCTGTATTCTCTGGACTTGTCATTTATAATTTTACTATGGCTATATACTGTTCTTTTTTGTTTTATTCTTGTTTATTATTCCTGTAAATAACCTCCCTTGGTAATATTGCAGCATCTTTTTTCCTGTAGTAATTATTCACAATAGTGGCCTTCCGTTTCAGGAATTCATGCGCATGATTGGCAATGATAAACAAGGGCAGATGATTGTGTTTCACTTGATAGAGCTTTTGAAGAATAATGGACGGCTACCAAGACCAGATGGATGCCCTGATGAGGTGAAGTATGGGTCTTAATATGTTGCCATAGTCTGAAAGGTGCTCAGTCAGGGTGAGCACGTGGTAAATGTAAGCCTTATGTTTGGTTCTGCTTGGAGTGCTGAAGTACTTGCACAGGCAGAATGGCTGTGCCCTTGTTTCATCAGTTACGTGATGAGCATGATCACATTTTTAGTTATTTAGGTTGCATTCCCAATGGAGCCTAGAGTGTAATCTTTCAAATACATGAATTAGGATTATTATGACTGGCCGCTGTAGAGGGGCACTCAGGCTTCTATTTCAAGAATAGACATTTATTAAGGCAGTGAGATTAGTATAAAGATCTTCTTCCATGGAAATCCCTTATAGAGATTCTTGCTTAAAGCTGTGTACATGGGTTCTTTTGAAGTCTATAACATTTAGCAGTATATTAAATACCTATGTAAGATTTTTCACATTTAATTCTGAGATTTAAATAGTTCCTCATCTTGATAATTTTCCTCCTCTTGCTCTTCCCCCCTCAAGCATAGGAATACCCATGTTTGTCATGTGTATTATTCACTGACAAGCATTGTCAGCCAAGAGCTGCCTGCAGACTGTAGGTAGTTAAGTGTATGAATGAGATATTGTATGTTCAGGGCCTTCAGAATTGTATTCATACTCTTCATAGATACGAAAGTCTATGTGTTTGTAAAGCCATCCTCAGAGCTCACAAATTAATTCAGTGCTTTGTTGGTTGTTTAGTTTTGCTAATACAAATTTTTTTAAAATATTTTCATACTGCTTCTAAGTCTTGTAGTTCTGTATTCTTCAGAGCAGGGTGCCCTTTATCTTGACTCAAACTGGTAGGGCTTGAG